CAGGTATCTTCGCGTTTTCGATAAAAATACAGTATCTTCGTACCTTGCATAACACACTGGCTTCTTACACAAATTTCACCAGGGGTGTTCTCAGGGAGAGATTGACCGTTCTCAGGATTGATGAACTTGATTTCCAAATTTGGAAGGAGGAATCCTACCGAGTTTTTCTTTGCAATGCCATGGCCTTTACTAGGATCCCCATGAGTAAGTGTGATGCAGCTGTGCTCTGTCAGTCCATATGCCTTACGAAAAACAGGTTTAGTAGCAAATTTGAACATGATTTTTTATTTTTTGAATTTTTGATCAGATAATAACTATGAATCACAGGAAGAACATTTCTTGGAAATAAACCATTCAACAATGATGACTAATTCACAACAATGTGGTAAAATTATACTCACCTCTTGAACCTGGACGCCAGGGAACTTTTTTTCGAAGGCTGTGAGCAGCTCCGGGGCAAGTGGAGCTGCTGCGGTCATAATAGCCTTGAGTTTGAGCTTGCTGAGATCAAATTCCTCCACTATTGGGTTCTTAACCAAGGCTAAAATTATTGGTGGCACAATTGGTGCAAAGCTGACCTCTTGTGTGATCAATGCATTCAGGAATGTCCTGAGTTCAAACCTACCCATCACCACTACTTTCCCCTTGTTCCTAAGGGTGGCACAACATATTCCAGTGATACCATATATGTGAAAGAATGGAATTAGGCCTAGTGTGGCAACCTGACCCACCATTTCTGGTCCTACACTGAAGAGACTGGAGCACAAATTAGCCACCAGATTCCTATGGGTTAGCATGACACCCTTTGACATCCCTGTGGTGCCTGATGAGAATGGAAGTGCACATAGATCACTCTGGAGGACTTCCTCATAAGCAAGTGTATCTCCAGCACGGTCAGCTGCATCAAGCAGTTCATTCCAATTCACGGCAGTGCTAATGCATACTTCACCCAGTACGATTACAGGTAGCCCTAGACCCTTCACCTGTATTCACAAGACGCCTTTAAATCGAACCTGAATTCATTACATTGCTAATAACAAGACAATTATTTCTACAGAAATTATTATCAGACTATCCAATTACCTTTCCATAATTAAGGTCATTTGTGACAATGAGCTTAGCATCTGCAGCCTCCGCCTGCTTCTTAAGCTCTGATTCATGTGCAGTAGGATTAGCACCCGAAAACACACCACCAGCAGCCATTATTCCTAGTGCTACAATGCCATACTCAGCAACATTTGGGAGAGCTACAACCACCACGTTTCCTTTTCTTAGGCCGAGAGACCTCAAGGCCTTAGCGAACCTCCTAGTGTCTCTAACTACCTCAGCGTAAGTAAACGTCTTTCCTGTCGCAGCCTCCACAAATGCTACCTTGTCAGCATACAATTCAGCATCTTGGAGAACAAAATCAGGGAGTGTGATGTCTGGCACCGGGACCGCCGGATGTCGGCTTCGGAAAATGTGCTCCTCTTGCGCTGAGCATGGAATGGGAGTTCCCATGGTGGATACGAGACAGTGAAGAAGGACAGCATTATTAAGCTTTGTTTTAAAGGAAGGTGAAATCGTAAAAAACTTCTTGTGGTCATGTCTTGTGCATGGAATTAGAGAGTAATTAAGAGACAGGTGAGAGTATGAGATTGACATGGACTTAGGTTGGTATGTGTTTGTTGAGTCATGTCAAGATCACAGGCATGCAATAAAATCTACTTTCAGCATGCTGATTTTCTTGCGAAGGAATTGTAGGATTTTGCATTAATGAACTCAAAATATTGTCCATAAGCAAAAATACTTTAAAGAATCTAATTCTTGGATTTAAAATATTTTGAGCACCATGTCAAGTTCCTTCCTTTTAAGCTAGGAAGAACGGAGACATGCAAAGTTACATGAATTTTTGCTTTCCTTTTCTTCTGAAGCCAGCATTAATTATCCTAACAAGAAGAGGCCAGCCTTAATCGTTAATTAGAATAACAAACAGAAATCAGACTAATTAGGCGTGCATTTGTGAACTAATTAAGATATATCAACCGTGAGTGGAGGAGTGCTAGGGGCACTCGATTGATTCGGCGCTCTATGACACTTATATTTAGGATTGTGATAATGGTATTTTTTATTTATAAATTTATTAAAATAATACTTTTTTATTTTTTAAAAATTATTTTTGATATTAGTATATTAAACAATTTAAAAATATATAAAAAATAATTTTAATAATTTCTTTTTAAAATTTTAAAAAATATAATTTACATTTCATTTACAATACCAACCCGCTACTTATTATTCCATTTTTCCCGGATCCCCTTCGTTCTTTCTCAACTACGGTATAAACAGTCCCACCCTAACTCTTGCCCTGGACTCCATTTTCCACAATTCGATCGTTATCACCCATACGACTGAGCATCAGCTCAGTTTGATTTGAAAAAAAAAAAAAAAACTCAACTAGATATAACATACTTTTTAAGAATCTTAAACCAAATTAAATCGAATAATTTTACTTTATTTGTGAAGATGATCAAGATTTATTGGTGATTTGAAAGAAAAGGCAAAACCTTAGCTTAGCATATTGACCAGTATCAGGGCATGCACAACATATTTTCCATCGGGCATTTTCGTTGCTGTTTGCAATTGTTGGATCTTGAAATTGAGACTATATTTGCAAGATTGAATAGTTACAATTTGTAAGAAATCAATTTCGGCAAGTTGTTCAAGACACAAATTGAATTGATGAGGGGTTATGGGTTCAGCATGTTAAAATTAATTTTTTTAAAAGTAAAAGTAAAAATATTAGTTTGATATATTTATAAATAAAAAAACATTTTGAAAATGTAATATAATAATTATATTACGAGAAAAGTTTGATGCTTTGGACCAGTGGCTGAATAAGAGCATCGCTGTTCTTGAACTTGAGAATCTAGATGAACATTTGGATCGTTTTATTGAAAACGAAGATGCAACCAATCTTTATTGCCAAGTGGTTCAATGAAATAATTGTAAGATGAAGGGGAGGCTGTGGAATTTTAATCAAGTAGGACATTCAATGGTTCGTTACATAAAGTACTGGCGGAAGAAAACTGAAACTGCAGAAATCATCAAGAAGAACTCCTCATCAATGCCTTGCAAAGATCACAGTCAATTGATGATCTTGAAATTTAAACTTCAATTTCACAACTGGATCATTACAATACATACTTGGATACAGATCTCATTTTGGAAGGTTGCATTATTGCCACGATGTTTGAGGGAGAAATCCGATTGCTGGACTTTCATCTCGAAGAGACTATATTGAGAAAGATATCAGCAAAACGATTGACAATTTGAAGCAGTGGGTGTAAAAGAAGACGATTGACAGTGGAGATACAGAGGAGTATGTGTCGAAATTATTTTTTTGTTCACAATTCAACATATCACTTCTGATTGTCCATAAATTGTTGGCTTTCTTGGTTTATGACCTTTTTAAATATGGATTTTAGAATTCAGTGATCTTTTCCATGTTCACAGAATAAGAGATGAGAGGAAAAGGGAAGGCATGAGCAGCTCACAGAGTTCGATCACGAGGAAAATCATCTCTGTGCATCAGTGCGTGTTGTAGATAATGATTCTGATTATCCGATAGTCCACTGCTTACAACCTGGATGAACATCGGGTGTCCTGTAGAGAGACCAATTGTATGAGAACTAGAACTCCAATACTCTTCCAGTTCTATTAGGAGTCATTCAGAAGCTATTATATAAAGCTTTATAAACTTCCCCCTTGTATTTTCGTTTTTTTTTCAGGGAGACGGAGAAAGAATTGAGAGTTCCTTCTCTGAATCAAGAACAGGTAATTATGATTGATATTTCATAGGAAAAACTTCAACTGTATGCTTAAAGTATGATCAGTTTCATTATTGTATATTCTACAAGGGCATATATACAACAAATTGAAGACCAAGTACTGAAACATAATTTAATTGCGCCAAGTTAATTATGTGACATTCGAGAATTTTACAGATAAATTTTTGTGTAATCTGTGATATAATGATAAATTCAATGCCGGTTCTTTTTTTTTAAAACATATTTAATCATAATTATTTTTTATATTTTCTAAAATAAAATATTTTAACAATGATCTCTTTGACATAATTATTTTTATTATATTATTTCTGTTAAGATTTTTTAGGATTTGCAAATTAGTTTAGAAATATTCTAATGTTGATTGGATATATATTAATTATATGACTTTTAATAAATAATTTCTTTTAGGATTTGTTCTAGGATTATATCTATGATATTCATAATTTTAAGGTTGTGAAACCCTAATATTCTTTCTTTCTTTTTTGCTATAAGCTAACAGTTATATGTGTCTAGCTACTTGTTTGCAGTTTGGTGATAAAATTGAATGGTTTTTTTTTTTATGTATAATTATAATAAATACACGTGAATTTGTTGCAGGAGTTTGCTCGTACTAAGATACCGTACATCAATGGCTGACGAAGATCACAATAAAAAATACGTTGAAAGTGAGACTGTAATCCTTGAGATTATGAAGTCATGGTTGAGGCACTGCATTGATGAGGACTCTGCACGAAGGGGGAGGGAGCTCGAGAAAAGAATCGGGCAAATGAAGAAAGGGGAAGAAGAAACAGAAAAGATTTTGAGCGAGTTGGAGATGTATGCTGAACAATCCTTTGCTGGTCAAAGGAACATAAAGGAAGTAATCGACATGATTAATTATCTGGTTCTATGGCTGAAAAAGAAGATCATTGACTGCGATAAATTTCTACAAGAGTATGTGTTGAAAACTTTAGTTCTCCATGATTGTTTATTTTTTGATACCTCCATGATTGTTTATTGTTTATAATTCAACATGTTTACTATTTCTGATCCTAAACAGCAACAGGGTGTTTTTTTCTTTATTAGTTATTAGCCTTCTGAAGATCTTTACCTATTTATTATGATTTCTTACTATGAATTTCAGAAATTAATCAATATATATGCTTTAATTTCCATGTTTACAGAATAAGAATGAGGAAAGGAAGTGGGGTTGCGGAAGGCTCGGACAGCTCAACCATGATGAAAAACTTCTGTGTGCTTGTTGTGGAAGATGATTCTTACCTTCGAAACTTGTACAGGCGGCTGTTGAACGTGTTTGGGTTTTTAAATGATTTCCAAATGAAAGTTGAAATGGCCGCAAATGGAAAGGAAGCTGTTGATGTTCTTCGTGGTGGAGTTTCTTCAAATCTAATTATTATGGACATGGATAGATCCACGAATGCGCTTGAGGTATGCTTATTTACATTGAAACTAAGAAGGCATTTTACTCATCTGAAGCAATTAAAAACATCATTCATCTGCTTCTGCTTCTGCGTTTGCGAAATGCAAGTTGTCAAGTTCTACTCATCCGAAGCAATCAACATCATATTCACCTGCTTCTGTTTCTGCTTCTTAATTGAAACAGGAAATAAGGGAACTGCGAGCTTTGGGTGTGGAGAGAAACATTATTGGTTACACCTCGAGTACTGCTGAGGCTCCTGATCAACAGAAAACTTTCATGGAAGCAGGTCTAAATGGCTGGTTTCAAAAGCCTATGACTTTTGAGATAATAACTCCATTTCTTTCTAACCTCACAAATAATAACTGATCTAGATTATCATGAAGAGAGATCTGCCAGTCGATCCATGACCTTTATGCATTAACTTTATTTGTTTTTTTGTTTTGTTTTTTGGAGATATGAACTCCTAATTTCTTAATTCTTAGTAGCTATGCTATGGCTTCCATGTCATTTTTCTCTCCAGTTTTTGTCCACCTAGCTATCGATTTTTTAAATCTTTCGAATCATGTTCTTCTCGTTAAATGTACAGTAACTTGGGCAGGAGACATTCTTTAACATATGCGCATTAACTTTCATCTCCATGGAGTTCTGAAAAACTAGTGCTCTGATGCATTCTTAAGGTTTAAAGTAGGTTAAAGTCGTTGAAGTGATTGTTGATATGGCAGTTCAGTTTGTATACTAATGATCAGCGTACAGTGACATGCAATTCGCAAAGCAATTCCACCCAGCACTAATCCTTTCATCAGGTTTTAATATTATGGCTCCAGATTGTTAGCCTAATGAGAATTATCTAAATCCATCCATCCTTGATGATTCCGTTGCAACTAATTTAGCATTAATAATACTTTGATGAGAACATATGGTATTCAATTAGTACTTAGCCTGAGATGAGAATTGTCTGAATCCATCCATACTTGATGATTCTGGCAGCTTAACTTTTCCTAGACATAGAACGTTTGTTAAACAAACGAGCTTCTCGACGAAGAAGAAGAGCGGGAGGTTATATCTTAGCGATTTTTTCCGGAAGAAAAATAGGGGCTGTTGATTTTGGCCATCCACGCCAAATTTCTTTATTATTTTCATCTAAAAGAAAATACACTATATTCATCTTAAAGGTATAAAAACCTGTTTTGAATCTCAAAGCACTCTAATATACCCTAGAAAATCTTAAAACCTGAACCCTCATCTTTCTCTCGTCTTCTCTTTCCTCCCTTAATATTCATGTATCTTATATTATAACTAAATTTAGTGACCATTTCATACAAATTTTTTAACTTAAATGATTGAAATGTTAAAAAAAACACAAAAATTTGCACGAAATCACTTAAAATCTTTGAGAAACAACGTTGTTTCGAGCTTATAAAATAAATAAATAAAAAGCCTGAATTATAATAATGCCTACTACAGTAAAATCATATTTTTAGTTTGGGATTCTTTCTAAAATCCCTAGCATATTCTTTCAAAGTATACCATTTACATGTGCTATATTGTGGGTAGAATTAAAAAAAATTTAATATAAAAAAATATTTAAACATTGTTAATTTTTTTTCTAGTAAAAAAGAAATCTAAATCGTATGGAAATTGACCAAATGTGACCTGATTCACTTAACGAGTTCAAAAATTACCTTGATGACATATTGAAATCTAGTTTGACTAAAACATTTTAAGATGATATAGTTTTTTAATATTAAAATGACAATATATTGAATTGACTTGGGTCAACCTGGGTTAACATGCCAAACTTGTGACCAGGATTATGAAAGATGATAATCCTATATAAAACAAATCAAAATAAATTATAAAACAAAATTCTCAATAAATTCAATGTTAAAAGATAAAATAAAAAAATAAATGAATTAAAAAAATCTAAAAAACAATTTGAGTTAACATATTAAATTTGCATCCTATGTCATAAGATTGAGATAACCTTATAAAAATAAAATCAAAATAAATTATAAAACTCAATTTTCAATCAACTCAGTGTTGAAGATGAAATAAAAAATTAAATAAAAAAACATGAAAAAATAACCCAAGTTAATCCATCAAATTTATAACTCGGATCATGAGATTAAAATAACCTCATAGATAAAAATCTAAAAATAACCTGATTTAACTCGAATTAACCTGTTAAACTTGTGATCTTAGTAATGAGATTAAGACAATCTTATATAAAAAATTAAAATAAATAATGAAATTCAATTCCTAAATGACCTTGTTGAATCCAATATTGAAGGATGATATTTGAAGAATTTTTTTTTTATAAAAATAACCAAAAAAATATTATGAGTTAACTCGAATTAACTCTCTAAACATTATTTTTAGGACATGAGGCTAGAATAATTTAATAAAAAATAAATTAAAATAAATCATGAAGCCTAATTTCTAAATAAATAAAATATTAAATAAAAAAATATGGGAAAGAGTAAATTAAGAAAAACAAAAATAACTTTCCCGATAAAAGTGTTCTGTAAGGAGATTTGCAGTCAATTTCCTTTCTTTATAGTTTTTTTTTTTAATTTTAATTTTAATGTTAATATCATCCGCATCTTCTGTCTAATATCACCCGCATGTGAAAGAATCATTCTCCATTACAGAATAACTGCTCTTCATTTGGCGCTCTCTGCAAACTAACCAATTCACCTCTCTCTCTCTCTCTCTTCTCTCTCAAAAGCAAGAAAGTCAAGAAACCATTCATCTATGGCAGGCAAAGATCACAATCAAACTGATGTTGGCATCAAAGACCAAACTCAAACTGATGTTGACAGCAGTACCCGAATTGCAGAAATGGCTGTTTCTGTTGAAAAATTCATTCAAAGGATCAATGTATCTCCCGGGATAAGCAGGGAGACAATCGAAGCAATGAGCGAAGCAGTCAAGAAAAGCTCCGATGCCCATATGTTACTAGCTGACGAAGCCACCAAAATTTATCATGAAGCGGTCAGGGAAAGCTCCCAAGCCCGTATGTTACAAGCTGACGAAGCCACCAAAATTTATCCTGAACTTGAGAATACATTTGCAAAACTGAACAATACCATTTCTGAAATGGATCGACGGATGCTTGAATCTGCCAATAAGATCATGGAACTGAAGAAAGGCCGAGAAGAATCCATGAAGCTATTCAATGAGACGAGGGATATCAGTCATGAAAGAAACCATAGTAGAATAAGAGAAAAGATTGATTCTGTGAATCACTGGCTGAAAAAAAGGATTATCGACGTTGATGAAACCATGAAAGAGGAAGATAGTGCAACTGGATTTGATCATTCTGCTACTCTTGGAAAGGAGCAAGTTGTGCTTAGTTTGAGGAATGACAGTGACGACACAGAGGGGTAGGCGTTATTTTATTATACTTTTGTTTAATTTAGGCTTTAGAATGGAGTCCTTGGATTTTAATCAACTCTGTTCTCTTTGATCCAAGAAACCTGCATAAAGTTCCATTAATATTGTTTTCCTTTTAGTTTTGAATTTATCGTGGGATTTTTTTAAATATTTCCCAGTTTAAAGTTCCAAGATTATGTGCAAAGAATTCTACGAATTGATAAACATTTTCATACAGAAGCCGAAAAAGGCAGAAACTAGGGCATGAACCACACAAGTTCTCTGTGCTTCTCGTGGAATATGACACTTCTGCTCGAATACACAACAAGACGCAGATAATCCAATTTATAGGGAGAAATAATCTTGGGGTGAAATTTCAAGTTGCCGAAAATGGACAGCAAGCTGTTGATCTTCATAGTCTTGACAAGGCTTCTTTTAACCTCATTCTCATGGATATGGATATGCCTGTTCACGTTGCCACTGGGCCTGAGGTACAGTTATTTAACCTTCAACTCAAGAGAGTGTATTTTTAGTTCATTTGTTTTATGAAAACTTGGAATATAGAGGTGGTCTTTGACGGTCCGAAGACATAATGATAAATCACAACAAAATTATTCAAGATCTACAAGTTAATTAGTTCAAAATCATGGACAGGACCATTAACCAATCTAGAAGGATGCATCCAAGAACTTTTAAAAAAATGATTCAATTCCACTAATTTATCTTAAGACAATCTCTTAAAGAATGAAAATTGCGCCAATAATATGACATAGTGGGGTAGATTAAAAGGGCAGCAACCGCAGGCATGTGAGTCACATTGTGAAAAATGCAGCCTCTGTAGGAAATTCACTCATCTGTGTATTCTCCTTAGAGAACTCCACAAGGAGATAATTGAGTTTCATGATACTGTTAGGACATCCAAAATCTAATTCCTTGAGGGAAAATGGCTATAGGAGATGATGCGAACCTCGTGATCACATGGTCACGCAACCCACACGCAAAGATGCCAATTCCTGGAAAGCCAAGTAAATCAGGTTTGATAGGAGTGTGACACAAAGATAACTTGTACCTAGGCACCAGCACTATTGAAAACAGAAACCCCCACCCAACGAATATTGATTCGCGAACGAGAAGTATAAGGATGACGCCACGAAGTCAGTTGTTCTTCGATAAGTCGTTTTCAGTTCTTTAGAGAACCAAGGAAGGGAGATTATCCCACCAACACACAATAAGTGCAGCAAAGAAGTTTTATTAATATGAAAATTGCGTAACCTTTACATGTTTGGGTTATGCCTTTATTTATACTGAATTTGAACTTAAAGAAACCCTAATGGACCTCCCTTAGGTGGACTTATATGTAGCCCACTTACAATTGACCCAAATAAGTAATAATAACCCAAAAACTAAGAAGAAAATACTAAAAATACTAAAAAATCCGAAAATATCATCCTAAATAAGCTAGAATCAGATTTGTCACCCTTAACAAATCCTAAACAAAATTGGAAAAATCTGATTTGGAAAATTTGTGTTGTTGCCCCCTTTGATGTCCTTGATTAGCTTGGAATTCCTTGTTTAACTTGGACAAATAAGAAAACAAATTTCCTCCTTTGTTGCTGATTTAATTACTTTCCTTCCTAAGTGAGGAAAAACATTAAATAGTCCTCCCCTCTATAGGAATAAGATTTGGCCAACTTCCTTACTTAGTTAGGAGAATAAATTGCTGACTCTTTATCCTTGTAGTATTAGAAAAGACAAGCCTAACAAGGCTGGTATTGGGCCGGACACATCAACCCCTTGTTCCACATGAATTGGGCTCTTCTTGGACCTGAACTAAATGAATTAAAGGCTGTTCTTCATGCTCCTTAAATTTTCCAAGCCTCTCTAGGTCCATTTTGTTCCATATATTCTGAACAAGCCCATTCAATGCTTCTTTAAGCTTCTTAGCCCTAGCTCTTGTGATTGGCCCAATTGGCACCTCCAATGGGTTGTTG